CATCAACCAAGAGGGCACTTGCAACAGTCTGAGGGCAAGGTTGCAGGGTCTCAAACCCCCCTGGGGTCTATCTGTGCATGTGCCTGAATGGATCTGCAATATGATTGTCTGTCATTCTCACAGAAGACAGTGGCCTTTTTTGTATCCTCATAATACTGTAACATGTATTCTGTCACTACCCAACCATGTTCACTGATAACTAAATACATCAATACTTTTCTTACTTATGTTTATACACTCAAGTTAACATTAAAAACTGTTTTATCCCATTTTCACCCATCAAAGTATACAAGTAATATCACTTTGGACTTTGCAAGAAATGTGCATGTCATGTTTTTGGTTTTATACTTAATTATTATACGGGTGTGCACACGCATGTGTGTGTGTTTGAGCCTGTAAAAGAGAGAGATACTACCCATGGCTGATTCTGTGAGAGACAGATACACTATATGGCTAAAAGTATTGGGACACCCCTCATAATTATTGAGTTGTGGTGTTTCAGCCACACTCTTTGCTATCAGGTGAATAAAATGAAGCACATAATCATGCAGTCTCCATTGACAAACACTGGCAGTAGAATGGGTCGTACTGAAGAGCTCGATATCTTTAAACATGGTACTGTCACAAGATGTCATCTTTGCTGCAAGCCAGCTTGTGAATTTTCTGCCCTGCTAGATCTGCCCCTGTCAACTGTAAGCATGGGGGGATGGACCATGCTAAGGCAGCGTGGTTACCCTCAGTGCTAGAGGGCCCAGCCCTGCAGGCCTTGTTAGGCATCCCTGCTGACGTTTCAGGGACATGCTGCAGCATTGTAGCCAGCCTGGGAAGACAGTTTGGTGAGTGTTTGTGGCCTGCTTATGGTAGAGAGATTCCAACACCAGCACAGAGAGAAACGACCCATACAGAAAAAGAAATATATGGACATTTATTTTTATATATTTGATATATATTACAAATACATTACAATCCATGCTGAAATACATTCCAAATGTATTTCTGAATATATTGCCATATTAACCAAATATATTTTAAATAAATGTATTTTCAAATTGTAGTATCTGGAGTTCCATGTGTTCTGTTTTTGCAGGTTTGGAATGTTTAAGTTAGGGGGCCCCTGGTCCAAGGGAAGGTCTCATAGGGAATGGGACCCTCTCTTTTCCTCTCCCTTCCTCTCTTAGTTCCAGATGGATGAGATTATTTTAAAAAGGACCATATGTTATGACAACAACCACCCTATATAAGCCATTGGCTACACTGTTCTGAAGGGGACACTTCAGAATTGGCACTGATCCCCTCTCAGGTACTTTATGGTGCTTGATATGATACTGTTTTACTTTGTAATAAATCTTATACAAGTAAGACGGTGTCAGCGGAGACTACATCATCTTCACATCATCACTATTTAATAAACAAAATATATGGGGAAATAATACACATGGAAATGTCCCATACAAAAAATGAATTTATTTAAATGTATTTGTCAACTACATTTGAAAATGCATGAAAATTATTAAAACACTGTCTAATGCACTTTACTGTTTGGAAAACCCATTGAAATGACTTTGTATTCCATTATCTTATTTTAAGTATTGGCAAGTGAACTTTTCACATGGCAAAAGCAAGTGCTGTAGATATTCATTCACTGAAAGTGCAATTATGATTTCATATCTTATTTATTAATGTATTTATTTGAAATACATCTTGTGTGAGCACCATCTTACGTACATGGTTCAAGCAATGCAAAACACAGAAGTCAGTACTATTCATTCAGTTCATGTATATTTAGTTATATTTGTAACCTTTGTTAGAATAACAAAATTGAAAAACACATAGTAACAAATAAATGCTTTTTAACAATATATTTAACAATTACATTTTTTGCCCATTTTCATACAGTGCAAAAATATGTTTGATAAATACATTTGGAATTTTGGATGGTCCCACTCGCCACCAATACAGATGGTGGTGCTCACTTTCCGTGAGTTTCTGGCCAAGGTCCATGATAACTTCCATGATAAGCACTGGACATGTTCAAGCGGGTGGTGAGGCCATTAAAGCCCCAGCAGCAGCTGTGGCTCGAGAACCCAACTTGCCTGAAGAGGCTTTATGGCGGACAGATGAGTTGGAGGCGATTTTCAGGGAATATGAAGGCCACAATCAGGAGTCAGGTTCATCATGCAGTGGAGGCGGGCGGCAGAGATAGTTAGTGTGAGGTTGAGATGATGTGCCATGCAGCCTCTGTGCAAGTGGCAGCAGGACAGCTGGTGTGCTGGCATTGCAGGAGGAGGGGACACCGAACCAGACGATGCCACAAACCTCAGCCGGCAGGGTAATGAAAGTATTCTGAGGTCAGCTCTCCCTGTGAACTTTGGATAGAGTGCAGCACAGGTGGCAAGCGGCTCATTGACATGGGCTCTTCACTACCCCTATTGTGACTAAGTGTGCTCCCAAACACAAAGAGAGGTGCAACAGAGGGATGGGAGGCAACCAACATCCAGCTCAGGTCAGTCACTGGTGACCAGGTCCACCTGAAGGGGAGAAAGTGGCTCCTGGTTGTCCTGGGGGGGTCTGAACACTAGTTCTGTAATGCCCATTTGGGGTGCGTACAAACTTGGCTTAGATTTTCTTAGTGGTGTTTGGGGCCATGCTGGATGGGACAAGTGAAGCTAATGATGCCAGCTAGTGGTGGAGCTAAGTCAGATAGTAGGGGCTCCAGTACGCGTGAGCATCTCTTGCCAGTGTCAGCGACACTGCAGACGATGGAGAAAGCAGAACTATGACCGGCAGGCCATGGGCAAGGAACAGGAGGGGCGGCCTTCCAGAATGAACCTGGGGGTCTGGTGGGACTGGAACTAGTATGCAGCAGGGTCACTACTCTTGAATAAAGGAGGAGCAAAGTGGTGACAGTATACGCCTGGGTTTTAGTTAGTGTTCGAAAGACTGATATGTTCTGTCCTAAATGGTCATATGCATTTTTTGGTGGACTCGAAGTGTAGGAGCTACTTTTCTTTTGGGGGGTCATTGACAGGAACTTCACATAGCCTAGTTAAAAACAAAGGAGGGTTAAGTTGAGGCTAGGCTAGGCTGTGAGGCCAGTAACTAAGCACAGATCTGCTGTTTTCAGTTGTAACTGCTTTCTTTGAGCCAAGTTTTCAATAAAGCCTAGTTAAGTACCGGAACCTAGATGTCTCAGAGTTTCTTCTGAGAACCATAATAATTTGCCCGCATCTACAGTGTCTCCCGCATCTTATTTTATGCTGATGCCTCATTATTAATGTTAATGCATTGGAAACAAATGTGATGCATTTAATTCACTTGATTCAAATGTTTAAATAATTTCCTCATAAAAGAGAATAAAGAAAACTTCAACTCAGTTTTGTCTTTTAGTGTACTTTCAGCAGTAATTATGTTGAGTAAATTCCATGCATTTTAATATACAAAATTGTTTAGAGTTTTTTTTTCCTTTGCCACCCCAATAAACTCACTGAATCTAAATAGGGCCAGAGAGAGAACATCCCCTTTAATGCTCATTTAAATTGTGAACACAAACAGCAGCTGTTCCCATTTAGGCTGACTTTGAAAGGACTGAGTTTGGTTCATTGAAAAAGAACTGAAAGTGAAACCACCATTGAAGCCCCTCTTTCCTCAGTTGAACTTCCCTTCCAGATTCCTGGAATGCTTAACCCAGACCTGGAAAGTGTGTTTACTTGGCCTGTATTACCCCTGTGGGTCCATTACTCGAGCATACTTGCTGGTCAGGATAATTTGTTCACATTGTAGGGCAAATCAGATTTGTTCTCATACGAAATTCACTTTAGTGGTAATGTGCGTTCATCACCATGCCATCGTGTTAAGCGGACTATAACTTCCTCCACAGCTGGTAGCTTTATCAGAAACCTTCCTCAATTAGCAGCTTCTGTCAGCTGTCCATCTAATCCTTCCGAGTTAGATATTAGGACCAAGTTCTTAGAGGATACTTTTTGATCTACATTAGAAAGTGTGGTTCCATTAAAAAGTAAAATAGTAAGGCAGAAAAAGCTGGTATAATGATCATACTTGAGCTTTAAAACAGACTGTCAGAAAACTTGAGCGAAAATGGTGCCTGACTAAGCTAGAAGTGTTCCAGTCCGCCTGGAAGGAGAGCCTTATAGACTATAGAAGAGCACTTACTGCAGCACGCTCAGCCTCTCTCTCCTCTCTCATAGAAAACAATAAGAATAATCCTGGATTATTATTTAGCACAATTTCTAAAATAACCAAGAACCAAACAGTTACTGAACCCCAGATGCCATTAGCCTATAGCAGCAATGATTAAGAACATCTTTAGTGATAAAATGGAAAAAATTAGGCAGAAAATTCAGAATGTACAGTTGAACTCTACAAACCTGCTGCTTTATAATTCCAGTCTAGATCCTGAGAATATTAAAATTACTGCAGAGAGGCTGGAATTACTTAAACAAAATGAACTAGTTAAAATTGTTTCCTCTGCAAAATCTTCTACTTGTATGTTAGATCCGATTCTTACAGGTTTAACCAAGCCTATTCTGTCAATAATAAACTCTTCTCTTAGCCTTGGAGATTTACAAAAAGTTTAGATCTGGGGGTTCATGGAGTATTATGGTAAACTGCGTGTGTTGGTGCTGTCGTCCCGCTGCTCTCACTCTTTCACTCAAGTTTGTTGACGGTGGAGCGGAGGGGCGCCGTCATCTCAGGGAGCCTCATATCTATGTTACCTTCTGGTTTCTCCCTTTTAGTAAAGGGCTGCAATAACTAGACCTGCCGGAGTCTCTGCTGCTCTGTTAACACTGTAATCTGTGATCAGTCACTCTTTACAGAACTAACTCTGTGTTTTCCGTTCTTTGCTGAGTTGAACAGCTGCCCATCCTGTGCGTCTGATGCTGTTGTTTCTTCTGCCTTGATCGGGGGCCACTGCTCGCCAGCCTTCTGGACCGGCTTGACCACCGTTGAGCTTCATGCTGTACAACGCTGTGCAATCCTCACCCTCATGAACTGACCCTCCTGATGATGCTGCTGCTGCATAAACTAAAACTAATCTAAAATCAACCATTGTTCCACCTGTTTTTTCCCCATTTTGTACTATAACACTTTATACTAACACTGTTTGCTGTCCAGTGTTGACCAGAGGAGGAGGGGTTCCCCTTCTGAGTCTTGGTTCCTCTCAAGGTTTCTTCCTCCTGCTCTTAGGGAGTTTTTTCTTGCCACTGTCACCACTGGTGACGCTCAAGGGGGCTTGGACCCCGATTTTTCTGTAAAGCTGCTTTGTGACAACACGTGTTGTAAAAAGCGCTATATAAATAAACTTTGCTTGCTTGCTCGCTCACCTGGACATGGCAGAAATGGGGTTGGAAAAGGGGCATTTGCAGCATACATCTTGATTCAATTCTGTAGGTTGTACACAGGTCTCTCACCAATTTTGTGGTGTCCTTGTGTACAGTGAGTAATCAGCCAAGACGGATGATGAATTAAATTTATTCTTCCAAGTCAGTAGGCACGGGCATTGCTGTCTACGGTAACACACTTTACATCTCTTTTCCTGTAGTCCTGCCCTTAACATACAGTCAGACATACAGTAAGGACACAATGTAGCTGTTTCCATATTAGATACAGTGCTTTTGCTCATCAAATGTCAGAGTTCTCAGAGTATGTCAAACAGTTACTGAGATTCACAGGATTAGCAGTTCAGAATGTGTGAATCATACGTAAATAGATCTTAACACACTATGAATGTCTCAGTTAGTTACTTTCAAAGCTGATTCTAAATCATTGTGTAATTATCAAACCTTTACAAAGCTAAATCACATCAACAGGACAGTCAACCAATTGTACAGTGCTATAAAACTATATATACTACTGAGAGTGAAGAATTTCCATGGAAAGTACAATTGAAAAGTCAAAGACCCCCTTTCATACATGTAAAGTACAAGGTATTAAATTTTCATTGTCAGAAACAGCAGGAAACATATTTAACACCAAAAAGTCCAACACTAAGTATAATCTATCAGTATTTAATATTTATCTAGCGTTGGGCAGTAATAAGGTTACCACAGTGTTTAAAAATGATGGACTTTCAGAATTATGATGGTGACTGTTACTTTTTTGTCACTCCAACAGTCTCTTGACTTTGCTCTCTCAGACATGAGTTTCTATGATCTACACTTGTGTCAGCAGAGGACCAATTAGATGGAATCTAACATATTGTGGTTTGTGACACTTTTGGCCTGCTAAGTTATTTTAGCATAGCTAACATGATACAAATCCACACACCACAGAATAGGTTACATTTTGCCTTTCTTTCCTTTCAACAGCAGGTAGCCATTGTAGACATGGTAATGTGTATTGCTTACTTAACCTTTCTTTTTAACTTAGCTACTCCAAAAGAAGGTAACTGTCTTAAACCTTAGAGATGATCTGCTCACCTAGATTAGAGAACTTCTGAAGACAGTCTCTCTGATTCTGAAGCTGATGCATCAGAGTGGTGTAATTAGTCTTCAGTTGATCTCGTTCATTTGTTACATCTAAAAATCTGGTCTGTAACTGGTCTCTCTCTGCAGTCAGGTTGGTGTATCTGGTCTCTCTCTGCAGTGAACTTGATCCACAGCACTGTGATGGCAGTCAGCAGGAGAACACAGCAGCATCAGACACACAGTCTGTAGCAGCCTAAAAACAGTTAGTGAGTGGAAACAATGTACACAAAATGTTTTGTAAATTTACACTTAAATATGATTTAAATGTCTGTATTCATAAGCATATTATATCTTTACTTCGTTCATCATTTGTAAGGACCCCCACAGGACCACCACAGAGCATGTATTATTTGAGTGGTGGATCATTCTCAGCACTGCAGTAACACTGACATGGTGGTGGTGTGTTAGTGTGTGTTGTGCTGGTACGAGTGGATCAGACACAGCAGTGCTGCTGGAGTTTTTAAACACCTATGTGGGCAGTATCCTGTGACCACTGATGAAGGACTAGAGGATGACCAACACATCTGCAGCAGCAGATGAGCTATCGTCTCTGACTTTACATCTACAAGGTGGACCAACAAGGTAGGAGTGTCTAATAGAGTGGACAGTGTTTAAAAACTCCAGCAGCGCTGCTGTGTCGGATCCACTCATAAAAGCGCAACACACACTAACACACCACCACCACGTCAGTGTCAATGCAGTGCTGAGAATGATCCACCACCCAAAAAATACCTGCTCTGTCTTCAGTACCTGGCATTGCCCCCTTTCACAGAACCAGCTTCAACTTTTCTATAACTCTACCAGTTTCTGACATCTACTTGGAGTAACTTTTTCCCGCTGCTCCATGCAGAATTCTTTTAACCGTGCCGTGTTTGAGGGATTTCTTGCATGTACAGCCTGTTTTAAATCCACAGTCTACATTTCAATATGATTCACATCTGGGGTTTGACTTTGCCATTCTATTATCCTCCATTTCTTTCTTTTGAGCCACTCCTTGGTGGATTTACTAATGTGT